CTCAGTAATAAGACAAAGAACTCGACTTAAAAGAGGGTGAAGATCTGAAGACAGTGACCTGTAAGCACATGAAGTGTGGGGAGCAACTGGGAGCAACTCGGACTAGACTAAGTTACTGGAATTAAGACTTACTCTATGCATCTGCTCTCCCACAATATGGCATTGGGAGAGGAGGAAACAGCTTCTACACAGCTGCCTCCAGTTCAACCAATAAACAGCAGGACCTGCTCCTGATTGGAGGAGAGCAGCGTACTCGGCGTGTGGGTAGCAGAGTTGGGATTGGTGGAGGAGGACTATAAAGGAGGAGAGAGACAGCAAGCACGAGGAACATCTATCTGAAGGAACACCTGTGCAGCTCCCGAGAGAGCCGGCCGGCGGTGTGCCGCTCCCCCGCGGAAGTGGGGAAAGTGGCAGGGGGAACCGCCCTTCCACGGAGGTGGAAGGGTTGGTAGCCAACCCGGGAAGAACCAGCAGCAAACCCGGGGAGGGCCGAGCAGACAAAAGAACAGCGCAGGGTCCTGTGTCGTTCCTCCACGAAGACGGGGAGCGACAATGAAGGGGTGCTCAGTGTCACTTGTAAGGGAAAACAGCTCCGAACCAGCAGGTATTACTTCGCACCTCTGGAGATCTTGCTCTACTACCACTACCAGGTGTGCCCCCAGAAGAAAGGCAGACAAGTCCACACCAACACTGGCGCAGGAATTTTCATACAGTCACCATGACTCATAACGGCTCCAAAGTGGGAAAAACCGGATATCCACAAGCTAATGAGTGGGTAGACAAGGTACATTGTATCATACAGGGAAACATAGTTTGGATATGAGAAGGACTGCAGTTCGGACTCAGGGTACAACATGGATGGATGCACTTGGAACGCTCTGGGTAGAGGCAACAGTCACAAAAGACCATGTGCCGTGTGCTCCCGTTTCTGTGAAACCTGCAAGCGGACAAATTCATTCCAACCAGAAATGGCCTCACGATTCCCTAGGGAAGCCGGCGTCGGTGGCCAGTCTGTCAGCTCAGGAGCCCGGGGTTGCTGTCAGGCGTGAGAACGTTCTAAGCTGGGTCGAGGCGAGGGCCGCACCCGAAGTATCGTTGGATTGTACACGTGTGAGTTACATCGGTAAAGCTGTTCCTTGAGAAAATGCAGTGTTGTTGAGGGCGCAGCAAGCTCCCTGCCTCTCCAAGGTCAGTCCCGGACCCTGAACATTCTTCCTTTTCTCCCTCAGGCCTCCGCAGAGCTGGCTGGCGCCCCTGCTGCTGGCTCTCGGCCGCTCTCTCAGCTGTCTGAAGTGGCCAGCGCGCCCTGCCAGGCGCTCCTTCTCTGCTCTGCCTCTTCTTTTCATCATAGTACCATGGCCTCCTAGCAGGCTGTACCATTCACTCATTAACGAGGTGCCTTGTTTCTTGTCACTCTCCCCTGCCCCCAGCTGGAAGATAACCTCCAAGAACGCGGCCATCATTGTTTTTCCCACTGGTGGATCACAGAGGTTTCAGAACAATGCTTGGTGTATAGTAGGTGCCAAATTATATAAGCACCTACTTCTAAAATTAACTTCTTGTCTCATTACCCCAGGGCAAATCTTGATGTGGCGAGATACTAGTTCTTCTGAACTAGAATTGAAACAGTTATTTTTCACTTTGACTTAGTAATTCCACTCTGGGGAATTTATCAAAAGAAAATAATTCAAAGGAAGAAAAAATTGCTATGGCTTACTTTGTGACTGTTTTGCTCCAGGTTGTGTTTCAAAGCTGATAATAATTTAAATGACCAATAACAGAGGAGTATTTACAAATTATGGTGCACCATCTTAGTACTAGACCACATAACCAGTGAAATCATAAGGACGCCTTTTACCAATGTGGGAAAGGTTTATGTCATACTACTGAGTGGGAAAATATACATATATATATATATGCTTTCTTTTGTTCTATTATCTCGGCAAATCTGTGTTAACCAGTTACTGTGTGTCAGACCCTGACCCAGGGGCTGGGACACATGCAGGAGTAAGAGCAGTCTGCATGCCTGCCTCCCCAGAGCTTGGATTACGGTTGGAAAGGGCAGGCTGTGGTGAACCTGTAACACCTACGTTCACTCCGTAGAGCGATCAGAAGAGTGCACTAGAGCACAGAGTGGGTGGGTTTGGCTGAGACTGTGATGGGCAGAGTTAGGGCCTTGACTGATTCCCAGAGAAGAATGGTGACGTCAGGTCAGATAGCCTGGGCCAGAGCACCAGAGTGTTTGGGTTTCGTACTGTGGGGGAAGCGGTGCCAGAGACCGGCATTCAGCAGAGGAGAATTTGGGGGACATCTGTTTGATGCCCGTGGGGCAGAGACCAGGCTTGGAACGCTAGAGGACTGACACAGGCTGGTTCTGGAGGTTGAAACTGAACTCAAGTGCAGTGGGAATGGAGCAGAGGGCAGAGAGGCGAGGGATTAGAATGTAGTTGGTAATGAACCGTGCTTTTCATCCTGAGATTCATGGCTGACAGAGAGAGATGTGGAGGGACTCCTGGGGTCTCTTCTGCAGCACCACATGGGGAATGGAGAAACAGCGTGGTGATGGATCAGTGTGTGCAGTTTGTGGTGTGCTTTATTTCCGCTACTAAAAAATCTTTTCCTTACTATAGTTTTTGGTTCAGGTTACAAACAAGGGACATCGAGAAATGCATTCCTGCTAATTGCTGGTTTTTGTTAAATGACATAAAAATAGCCTGAATACTATTATTATGGTATTGTCTTTTAACAATCTAGAAAAAGAACGTCTACAGAAATTCTTTGTCATTAAAAAAAAATCTGTATCTTTTGTGACATAAGTATGTTCAGCTTTAACATTTCAATATGCTACTACTTGGTTTCCTCTGACTTTGACAAGTAAAAATTATTTTGAAAGTGTGGTACCTTTCCATAATTTGATCATTTAGTTTACTATTTGACAACGAAGACCTTAAGATTTAATTTGCCTCTTCCAACACCACTACACATGCACAAAGAGACGCACACACACGTGCCTGTGCGTATTGCGAAGATGTGTAGTGCTTAACAGAGTTTGGCCCTACTCTGTAAATGTGTTCAGAAAACAATATAACACAGACACTGACAGCAGCTTGTTTCTAACTTGTAGCTAAACATGACATTCAAATGTTAATTGGATGAATAAATCTTGTTCATTTTACAGACATGGAAATGTCAATGAAATAAAACTATTTATCACAAGATAATAGTCTCCTGCCGCCAGATAAATGCCAAGATGAAGATACTTATTGAAAATGTATCAAAATATTCTATTGCTATTTATTGAAAATAAAGGTTGAGGAAAAGTTCAACTTTTCAGGTCAAACATGAGAAATGCCGTGCTTATGCTGTTAGTATATTACTGTATCAAAGGCAGTGTGCGTGGTATAGACACATGGAACAGTTCTCAGCCATGTCTAGAGACAAATCTAGCCTGGGGAATAACTGGCATGGTGGAGTGAGACCTGGGAGTAGATAGCTAATATGCATTGAGTTCTAACAGAATCCCGGCTTCACTGATGCAAGCTGCATGAGAACAAGATTTGAAAAGCAGTATTGTCCTCATTTTACAGGTAAAGTTAAAAGCTAAATAACTTGCAGTCTCACTCTAAGTGTGGGTCAACACCAGGATTTAAACTTAGCTCGGACTCCAAATCTGGTGGTCGTTCTGACACCCTGCATTTCTCCCTGTAGTCTGAAAGTGTGAACACAAGGCTTGTTGGGTTTTGAGTGACTAGCCCTGAATCCTAGTATTGAGATACCTGCTTTTCTAGCACGAGTGGTGGGAAAGTCTTCGGGTAGCTCCATCGTTCTGCTGTATTTTATGAACATAGAGACCTTGTTTCCTCATTGCTTCTCTGATGACATAATGGTTTTTTTTTTTTTTTTTTTTTTTGGACAGGCAGAGTGGACAGTGAGAGAGAGAGACAGAGAGAAAGGTCTTCCTTTGCCGTTGGTTCACCCTCCAATGGCCACCGCGGCCAGCGCACTGCTGCTAGCACACTGCGCTGATCCAAAGCCAGGAGCCAGGTGCTTCTCCTGGTCTCCCATGGGGTGCAGGGCCCAAGCACCTGGGCCATCCTCCACTGCACTCCCTGGCCACAGCAGAGAGCTGGCCTGGAAGAGGGGCAACCGGGACAGAATCCGGCACCCTGACCGTGACTAGAACCTGGTGTGCCGGCGCCGCAGGCGGAGGATTAGCCTAGTGAGCCGCGGCGCCGGCCAGACATGGTGGTTTTTATAAGGTACACAGTTGGATGGATGTGGATGGATGATTGAAACAACTTAATCAATAGAAGGAGAATTATCCACTCATTCATTTCCACACCATCCCTTCCAGGCCCCAACAACCACCGCCTCTGTCTCTGGCCACCAGCCACAGATGCTGGGTGTTAGTGTCTCCCTCCTCTGGTCTGTCGGAGAACTGCAGTTTTCCTGGCAGCAACCCCTCTACCTGGTATTTTGGTAGCTTGTAGAATCCTTGTGCTGGTCTCCCTAGTAGGTGATAGGCTCCTCAGTGGGAGAAATTTGGTGTTTTCCTTTTCTCTGTTCTCCCTGGTGCCCATCAGAGCCATTTGGACATTGCAGACACTCAGTCAATGTAGTAGAAGAAGTGGGAAAGCGGGCTGTTCATTCTAAAGCCCCGAGGCCTCCCTGGTGCATCTTGAGAAGATGGGGGCCTCTTCACCTGGCCCTCTGCTGCACTTGCATCTGTCAGTTCTCTCAAACACATTTGGGTTTGCTTATTTTTATAAAATTGGTGTAGTCAATGAAGGAGCAGATAATTTAACCGCTAACTACATGCAAAGGAGAGAAATGCTTAAATTCCCCTCAGGAAGAAAATGGGAATCCACTCAGCACTCTTTTCATCTAAACACTGGTGGAATTTGCCCTGCTACAGGTTCTTTGACGGCTTGAGGTAGCAAAGCCATCAGCACTGTGCGTTGCTGGGGTGCTGACTCAGCCCTTCCCTTGCGCTTTCACAGACGGGCGGCCTTTGACCCTGGAGGACATCTGGGAGGGAGTCCACGAGTGCTACAGGACGCGGCTGCTGCAGGGGCCGTGGGACACCATCACCCAGCAGGTGAGACCGTTCTCGTTTCTGTGTACGCAGGCCTTTCCGTCTGCGCCTCTTTGTCCAGTTCTCTCTGCACTTCCTTCTGTTTCACTTCCCCACAGCCACACAGAGCTCAGTTCAGAAACAGCCTCCTTACAACACCTTCCCAGTCTTGGGCTAGTTTCCTTATTGTCAGCTCACATCACACCCCATAACTTCCTTTCACGGTGCTTATCTCAACTGAAAATTATGTATTTGTGTGATTTTCAGAAAATACACACCTGTCTTTTCTACTCTACTGTGAGTTCCCAGGTGTGATGCACACCTCACTGGACACACCTAGCACCAGCAGAGCTCATACCATATAGTGGGTACTCAATGAAAATGTGTTTAGTAAATGTGTACTAGATAAATAGAAGATTGGTTGACATATAAACTACGGAGTAGATGGTTGGGCTTGTGTTGACTGTAGTTGCCTGGGATGTTTCACAGTGTTTCTCATGGGTACATTGGCAAAAATAAATAAATAAATAAATAAATAGGGACTTTTGATTAATAATAGGTTTACAGTAGTGATTTGCAAAAGTAGAGAAAATAGATCTGCAAAGTAGGTATAAAAAGTAGATTTGCAAAAGTAGAGAAAATAGACCTGTCAATCATGTAAGTCATTATTACTGCCTCCCTAAAATCAGCAGTTAATTATTTTAGAAATTTAAAAATACTCATCACCTTGCCACCAATCATGGTCTCCTTGAAAATAATTTTACTTATGCCAAATATCTTAGCTTTCAAGCCTGTTATGCTTCATGAGAGCCTTGTTTAAAAATGACTTACCAGCCAGTAGGTTGTTTATGCCCTCCTGTGTGTTTGATCAGAAGCAGCAGTTTGCCTCCCAATCAACGTGAGATTCCCCAGCCGTCAGAGGCACTTCTTTGACAGTGACTGCAAATGACCATTACCTAGGTTCTCCTTGAGGACAAGGCTAGCTTTAAGTGTGATTATCTTTGACGCTGCCGCTTGGATTGATCTCTTCCTTTCTGTCCCCACTGGCACCCTCCTCGATGGAGGCCCCCTGACCTCACTGAGACCACTGATAAATCCTCTTCTCCCTGATCTTTTGTTCATCCTCTCCTACCCCTGCAGTCACAGCCCAACCACTGCTGTACTTACCGGGATACTCCACAAAATTGGTAGAGGAATGGAATTAAAGGAGAGTTCTATTTTGGTGCAAACGAGCTTTCGAAGTCCGTGCAAACAAAGAGAAAAAAAACTCACAGAAAATTGCATATTATCAAAAAACCATACATGGATTTCAATTTTTTTGTGTGCCCAAATAAATTTAATTCCATTTTTCCAAAACCTTTTTAAAGTGCCTTCTTATCTTAGTCATGCTCCGCCCTACCCAGGGTCTGTAGAATGTCGTCCAAGTGCCTGGCCCAGGCTGCACCGACTCCCACTCCTGGCTCTGCCTGCCCTTGTCAGTTCATCTTCTACTCCTCCCCCTGCAGCTCGCCCACCAAACATGGCCGCTGCTTATCACCACGGGAGCTTTGCTCTTGGAGTTCTTTCCCTCTTTGTTCTGTTGTTCTCATCCACTCCTCTCTCTGTAATCGTCCTAGCTCACCAGAATGACTGCTTCTGAAGTCCAGGATCTGGCGACCAGGCGTCAGTGGTGGTTCAAGCCAGGTCATCTGATACAGAAGCAGATCCATCCTTCATAGTTCTTCCAAGACACTTAATTTTATGCAAACTGTTTAACTTATAAGAGTTTCAACATTCTGTGTCTCATTGATGATCACAGAACATCCAAAAATAAATGCTGCAGGGTCATAATGTGTAGGAACCAGGAGAGATTTGGTCGTAAGGGTTGAGAGGATAGCAAAGGCCAAGGGAGGAGAGTCCAAAAGTACAGGTGTATTTAACTTCGGCATTTTGTTCTCACCTCCTTCTCAGTAACTTTTCATTATGCTCCTGAGGGCAACTCTTTTTTTTTTTTTTTTTTTTTTTTGACAGGCAGAGTGGATAGTGAGAGAGAGAGACAGAAAGAAAGGTCTTCCTTTTGCCGTTGGTTCACCCTCCAATGGCCGCCACAGCTGGCGCACTGCGCTGATCCAAAGGCAGGAGCCAGGTGCTTCTCCTGGTCTCTCATGGGGTGCAGGGCCCAAGCACTTGGGCCATCCTCCACTGCACTCCCTGGCCACAGCAGAGAGCTGGCCTGGAAGAGGGGCAACCGGGACAGAAAATGCGGTGCCCCGACCGGGACTAGAACCCGGTGTGCCGGCGCCGCAAGGCGGAGGATTAGCCTGTTGAGCCAAGGCGCCAGCCTGAGGGCAATTTTTATCCATTTTGTCTCACTGGCTGCCCTATTGTTAACCTTCTCAGTGCCAGCCTATGGCACAACTCCTGATGGTCTGTGTCCCTCTGTGTTTTAATTCCACATGTCTCTGTTCTAACTCATGGCACAGGCACAATATTGGAATTCAACCATATCTTCTTAGTTTCCTATTTTGGTATTGCCAATAGATTTTTTTTTTTTTAAGATTTATTCATTTATTTGAAAGGTAGTGTTACAAGGAGGCAGAGAAAGAGAGAGAGAGAGAGGGAGGGAGGGAGGAAGGGAGGGAAAGAGAGAGGGAGGGAGGGAGGGAGGGCGAGAGAGAAAGAGAGAGAGTCTTCCATCTGCTGGTTCACTTCCCAGATGGTCGCAATGGCTGGAGCTGTGCCAATCCAAAGCCAAGAGCCGGGAGGGAGCTTCTTCCAGGTCTCCCATGTGAGTACGAGGGCGCAAAGACTTGGGCCATCTTCTACATTCTTTCCCAGATCATAGCAGAGAGCCCTAACAGAAGTGGAGCATCCAGGACTTGAACTGGCGTCCGTATGGGATGCCAGCACTGCAGGCCGTAGCTTTACCCGCTACGCCACAGCGCTGGCCGTGCCAATAGATTTCTTTGCTTTGGTAGAAATTCTTTTGAACCAGAGGAATCAATCTGTACACTGACTGTTCTGGATGGAATTGACTAATGTCTTTCTTTTTTTAAAAAAGATTTATTTTATTTATTTTAAAGACAGAGTTACAGGCCGGCGCCGCGGCTCACTAGGCTAATCCTCTGCCTAGTGGCGCCGGCACACCGGGTTCTAGTCCCGGTCGGGGCGCCGGATTCTGTCCCGGTTGCCCCTCTTCCAGGCCAGCCCTCTGCTGTGGCCAGGGAGTGCAGTGGAGGATGGCCCAGGTGCTTGGGCCCTGCACCCCATGGGAGACCAGGAAAAGCACCTGGCTCCTGGCTCCTGGCTCCTGCCATCGGATCAGCGCGGTGCGCCGGCCGCAGCGCGCTGACCGCGGCGGCCATTGGAGGGTGAACCAACGGCAAAGGAAGACCTTTCTCTCTGTCTCTCTCTCTCTCACTGTCCACTCTGCCTGTCAAAAAAAAAAAAAAAAAAAAAAAAAAAAAAAAAAAAAAAAAAAAAGACAGAGTTACAGAGAGAGGTAGAGACAGAGAGAGAGGTCTTCCATCTGCTGGTTCACTCCCCAGATGGCCGCCATGGCCAGAGCTGAGCCAATCCGAAGTCAGGAGCCAGGAACTTCCTACAGGTCTCCCACGTAGGTGCAGGAGCCCAAGGACTTGGGCCACCCTCCACTGCTTTCCCAGGCCACAGCAGAGAGCTGGATTGGAAGTGGAGTAGCCGGGACTAGAACTGGTACCCATATAAGATGCCGGTGCTTCAGGCCAGGGCCCTAACCCACTGCGTCATAGCACCAACCTCATAATGTCTTTCAATTCATAGACATTTGAGTGTCACAGACAGCCTTTTCATGGACCATCTTTTTTTAACCTAGTGTTACAGGAATTGCCTCTTGGAGAATTCTGGTGTGACAGAGTAGAGATTAGCAAGGTTTAATGGGGTAGGGCATCCGTCAGGACAGATGGGCTTCTCTCCAGATGGATCTGAGAGAGCACGCCCAGTCATTCAGACATGGGCAGGCAAGACTAAGAGAAAGAACACACCTGGTAGGCCAGGGAGACACTCAGCAAAGGACTGGGAGCTGAGCTGAGAGCAATACACCTGCCAGACCAGGTGGGTGTCCCGAGAAAGAGCTGAGGACGCAGCCTGTATTCAGGCTGGGGCTCATAAGGGAGCAGGGTCCATGTGTTCCAGCCATTCCCCCCCTCCCCCACCAGGAGAAAGGGTTTGCTGGTGTGAAAGAAGTAAAATTCCTCTCAAGGTGTTAGACCCAATGTGGGTATCCAGTAGAGCAGACAGAGGGTTCGATTCTCCTGGGGTGCCCTGGGAGAGGCTAGGACTGCCTGTCAAGTTACTGGGATAGGGCAGGACTTTGTAGTGTGAAGTACAGGGCTGCTCCCGAGGTTGCTGCATTGCTTTCCCAAGGTGCTTTGTTTCCTTTAGGCCCCTTTCATGTACATAGGCTGGTTTCTATCTTCCTACCTAACACTAGCATAGTACTACAAATCCAATCTTAACACAATAGGCATTGCTGCTCTTACCCACCAAGGCTAGGGCTCTCCTAATAAGAGGGATATTTGATATAATCAGTCTGTCACATAACTATGAGATTTGGTTGATCCTTTGGAATGTTTTGTATTGGGATTTGATCTGTGGATGGGTGTCTTACTTCTAATAACAGATTTCATTTAAGCTTTAGCATTGCTCATCCAGGCACTAAAGAGCTAGCAAGAGAAACTTGTCTATAGTCATTTGTACTGTTTGGCATTTGAAAGTCATCATGATTGTTCACTTTGGGGATTTTGGTGTTTCATCCCAGATTGGTTAACGGGTGGGTATTTTTTGTCCTCTTCTTTGCTTGTGATCTTTGGAGAGTGGGTCTTCATTTTTGTAAGACCTCCATGTGGAGGAAAAGAAGGATGTCCCAGTAAGATGGAGATGCACAGTGTGACGGAGACCACGGAGGATGAGCTGATGGAGTATCGGTGGCGTTGAATAGCAGGTGCCGTTTTGCAGAATTAGGCTAAAGAATCACTAGCTTGCAGGCTGAACACGATCATAATATG